GTGAAGATGTCTTGCAGAAGTGAGAATTTTGAAGGTTTGAGAGAACCCTTCGGGTGACTTTACAAACATGTATTGTCGCATGTCCAAAGGGGCGTGGACAATCTCGGATAGAGATCATGGATGGCAAGATTCTGACTGCACAGCCGAAGGGTTCAAGCGAGGGCGGGCAAAATATCCGTTAGATTTGCTTTAATTTGTTATTCGTCTCGATTCGATCCGAAATATTTGGATCCGTAATTTTATGGAGCAAAACAAATATTAAAATTTAATATCCGTTAAAAATGGAGCATATCACAAATACATAAAAAAATAAAACGGATATTCGCTTCGCTCCAATATAAGTATATATGTATGTATAAATAGATAATAATTTATATAAACTATATAATTATTTTATATAGATATAATTTTTGTGAATTTTTGTTTATAAATATGATTATTATAAATATTAAAGCTTAATAAATTAAGAAAATTTTTGTTTTAAAGAAAATATTATCATTTTTTGCTAAATTTTGAAATTTTTGTATTTTTATTCTAAATATATTATTATTTAAATATTTTTATGGAGAGCAGATCAGATATCTGGCAAATATTCGGATTTTGGCGGATATCCGAAAAACGGATTTCTATATAATTACGGAGTGGATACACATAAAAAAATATTTATCCGGACGGAGGGGAGTGGCTCACTGATATCCTTAAAATCTAGGATATCCGCTCTGTGCCCACCCCTAGTTCGAGCTTTGCACAACTGAAATGAACTCTGTAACACGCAAGCATGTATAATGCCTTCAAAAGGATATTTTAAGCTTTTAGTTAGTTAGAATTAATTTATGAGTACTCCAAAATTTCTGCATAACGAATATAAGAGCTATATAGTTCCGTCTTCATAATGTATATCTTTCATTGCCACCAAAGAGCTTTTTCCCTATGCTTGTTAATGTTACATATGAGTCAACCCACCCTCCTATCATTTACCAGTATCAGTGCCCAAATAGGGAGCTCACACTGTTAATCGTGCACGAAGACGGGAGTGAAGGAGAATGGGTGGAAGACGAGATGGGTGCGGAAGGCGAGTGTACCCAGGAGGTGGCAGAAGTGGCGGAGTTGTCCCTGAGCTCGATGGTGGGTCTATCTACCCCACGCACCATCAAGCTCATCGGATCTATCAAAGGGGAGAGGATGGTTGTGTTAATAGACAGCGGCGCGACTCACAATTTCATTTCGGAGGGAGTGGTTCGCCGACTGGGTCTGAAAGAGGAGAGGACCAGGGGATTCGGAGTTATCACGGGGACAGGCATCACCGTACAAGGGAGGGGTGTATGTCATAATGTCGAGCTGTTGATGCAGGGCTTCTCACTGATTTCCAGTTTTCTTCCACTTGAGTTGGGAACGGCGGATGTAATCCTCGGGTGTCAGTGGCTGGAGACCATCGGCGACACCAAGGTAAACTGGAAATTACAGGTGATGAGGTTCAGGAGCGGAGGTCAGAAAGTGAAGTTGCAAGGAGACCCAAGTCTCTGTTGTTCCCCAGTCTCTCTGAAGGCGTTGTGGAGGGCTCTGGAGCAACAGGGCGAGGGTATGATCGTTGAGTATAGCGGGCTTCAGGCTCAGGAGGCGACCAAAGAGGTAGCTCCGAGATTTGCCTGCATTGTCGAGGAGTTTCCACAGGTGTTTGCGGAGCCACAGGGTCTTCCACCATCGAGAGGGAAGGAGCACTCGATCACCCTCGAGCCCGGCGCGAGACCTGAAGCATCCGACCATTCCGTTATCCGCACGTTCAGAAGGAGGAGATTGAGCGGCAGGTAGCGTCAATGCTCGCGGCGGGTATCATCAGGGACAGTGGAAGCCCCTTCTCGAGTCCATTCCTTCTCGTTAAGAAAAAGGATGGAAGCTGGAGGTTTTGCGTCGATTATCGCGCTTTGAACAAGACGACGGTGCTCGATAATTACCCTATCCCCATGATCGATCAACTGCTAGATGAGTTGCAGGGAGCAGTGATATTTTCGAAGCTCGATCTAAAATCCGGGTACCATCAGATCCTGGTAAAAGCCGAAGACGTTCAAAAGACAGCGTTTAGGACCCACGACGGCCACTACGAGTTTCTCGTCATGCCGTTCGGTCTTTCAAACGCGCCCGCGACCTTCCAGTCGCTAATGAACGACATCTTCCGCCAGTACCTAAGCAAGTTCATCTTGGTGTTTTTCGACAACATTCTTGTCTACAGTCGGTCGGAAGCAGAACATGAACGCCACTTGCGAATGGCACTTCAGACACTGCTGCAGCATAAGCTCTACGCCAACAGAAAGAAGTGCCACTTCGGGAGTCAGGAGATTGAATACCTGGGGCATGTGATATCAGCTCAGGGGGTGGCGGCGGATGACAGCAAAATCAAAGCCATGGTGGATTGGCCGACCCCAAAGAATGTGAAGGAGCTTCGGGGATTTCTGGGACTGACAGGATATTACAGGAAATTCGTCCAAGGATACGGCCTTATCGCGAAACCACTAACCGAGTTGCTGCGCAAGGATCAGTTTCGATGGGGAAATGAGGCTGAGATTGCGTTTGGCCAACTCAAGAAGGCGATGACCACCGTCCCTGTACTCGCATTGCCAGATTTCACTGCCCTCTTCGTGGTGGAGTCGGATGCATCTGGTGTAGGATTGGGGGCGGTATTGATGCAGACCAACGCCCAATCGCCTACTACAGCCAAGCTCTCACGGACAGACAGCGGTTGAAGTCTGTGTACGAACGAGAGCTGATGGCAATCGTTTTTGCCATTCAAAAATGGCGACATTACCTGCTCGGGCGCAAATTCCTGGTTAGGACAGACCAAAAGAGTCTGAAATTCTTACTGGAACAACGCGAATTCAACCTAGAGTACCAGAGGTGGCTGACAAAGATACTCGGGTTTGATTTCGACATCCAATACAAGCCAGGTTTGGAAAATAAGGCGGCTGATGCATTGTCAAGGCGCGAGATAGCGTCGGAGTTGTTTGCTCTATCGGTGCCAGAAGCAATACAGCTTGAGGAGATATGTCGGGAGGTGAACTGTGATCAGGAGCTGCAGAAGCTGATCACCGAGCTCAAGCAAGATGCTTCCACCCATCCCGACTATACCATTGTTCAAGGGCGTCTGTTACGCTAGGGGAAGCTCGTGTTGCCACAGACGTCGGGGATCGTTGGTCTAATCTTACAGGAGTTTCACGATGGAAAGAGTGGAGGTCATGGAGGGGTATTGAAAACGCAGAAACGTATTGGAGATTTTTTCTATTGGCTGGGAATGATGACGGACATTCGCAGGTACGTGGCGTCCTGTAACACATGTCAGAGGCACAAATACTCGACGTTAGCTCCAGGAGGGTTGCTACAGCCGTTGCCAGTCCCGTCTGCTCTCTGGGAAGATCTGTCGATGGACTTTGTGGAGGGTTTTCCGAAGTCGGACGGTCTTAACGCAGTGTTAGTCGTCGTTGACCGTCTCTCCAAGTACGTGCACTACATCGGGCTTACCCATCCGTTCACTGCCGTGGAGGTCGCGTTGGTATTTGTGCAGGAGATTGTACGGCTGCACGGGTTCCCAAAAACGATTGTCTCTGACAGGGATCAGATCTTTACTTGTGGCTTTTGGAAGGAGTTGTTCCGACTGGCGGGTACCAACTTGTGCTTCAGTACAGCGTACCACCCCCAGTCGGACGGGCAGACAGAGGTCACGAACCGAGGGCTTGAGACATTGTTACGGTGTTTTGCGAGTGAGAAGCCTCGCGTGTGGGCTCGTTATCTACCTTGGGCGGAGCTGTGCTATAACTCTTCGTTCCATTCAGCGATACAGATGTCCCCGTTCAAAGCGGTTTATGGTAGAGAAGCCCCCACACTGATCAAATACGAGAACGGGTCTACGTCTAATGCTGATTTGTAGACTCGCCTGAGGGACAGGGATGCCACAATCGCCCTCCTCCAGCAACACATCAACAAAGCTCAGCAAGTAATGAAAAGACGGGTCGATGAGCATCGACGTGAAGTAGAGTTTGCGGTGGGAGATAAGGTTTTCTTGAAGATGCGGCCCTATCGTCAGCGATCCCTGGCTCGCCGAGTTAATGAGAAGTTGGCAGCTCGTTTCTATGGTCCGTTCGAGGTGGAAGCAAGGATAGGTGTCGTGGCTTATCGACTGAAGCTTCCACCTGACGCGAAGATACACCCGACATTCCATTGTCCCAACTCAAACTGGCTCAAGGGGACACGGTGGTACCCGTCTCGATCCCACCACAGTTGACTGCAAAAGGGGAAATGGTGGTCGAGCCCGAGAAGATAGGTGGTACTCGCGTCAATGCCATCACGGGTCAAGCTGAAGTGCTGGTGAAATGGAAAAACTTGCCTGAACATGATAGCTCATGGGAGTGGAAGCAGAGCATCCAGAGGCAGTATCCACACTTCGACCTTGAAGACAAGGTCAATTTCGAACCGCCGGGTAATGTTACATATGAGTCAACCCACCCTCCTATAATTTACCAGTATCAGAGGAAAGGGAAAACCCAACGGGCCTGAGAGAGTCTCGGCCTTCTTTCGTTCGGCCTTTCTTCTAGAAGTCACCAGGAGGAGATCGCTCATAGTACGAGCTACGTCAGGAAACACATCACGTGCTCTTGCTACCTATCGTTATTTGCTTTTGCTATTTAGGGAGGGATTCTGTTAGGATTTGCTTCATCGAGTAATTTGATTAAAAGTGTAAGGGGAGGTGAGAGACTCCGTATTAATTCTCTCAACCTTTGTGAACTCGTTTAATCATTGGAATACAATATCCCTTTTCCTTTGTTTTATCCGACATCCGACGTTTACAGTTTTTCTCGTAACAGTTAAATGGCCAGTATGTATGAAACGGCTCAGTGAGTAAAGGCAGTCCCATATAATATCTTGAATCTGTGGATGGGGACAGTAGGTATCTTCCTGTGGATAAAAGTGGAAAGTTGATGGAGTTAAAAGTCACAGAGCTTAGATATAGATGGAATAGAGCAAACATTATTGAGATATAAGACTGAACAGAGAAACAAAGAGACAAGCTCTTCCCAGAGGAAGTCATAATGAAATCACGTTTCTCTATCAAAAGTTTTATGTGAAATTTCTCTTCCTAAAAACTTTATTTAAGGGACAGACAATGATCGATCCTACCTTAGCACATAGATGGCCTCCTCTATTTCGGTTTATTTTCGCATAAGGCTGAAAGACTATTTCTTCCCGTGGTTTCAGAATAAGAGGAATTATTAGACAAACTAAATGTCTTCCCACAAATATAAGACATAGGCATGTGAACCAGCCGGCAGTAACACCACATTTTTGCTGCAGATAAACAATGTCAGAAGTTCAGAAGTGACGATGCAATTTCAAGAGCTTAAGAATTGAATGATGTTTAGACCCATGTGAAAAGATCTAGACAACGTACACGTGACAATTCATTGAAATCAATTATTATAACTCTAAATTCCAACTATAGTAAAATATCTATAAAAAAAACATCGATTATTCTTCACTAATGGCTCACTATCTTTCCTAGCAAAATGAATGTTGGAATATACAAAGAAATGGCAGTAGGCGGCACACGGCAAAGCAGCTATTAAGGATGAAAACTAAACAGATCAAGATCATCAAAAATGTCGAGCAACAGATAAATCAGAGAGTTAGATTATAAATCGAATATCACCTCAGTTTCATTGTATCTGCTGGCAGTGCAGATTTCATCAAAAAGTTCTCCTGCAGCATACCATCACAGTAGCAGGATGAGTAGGTTCACAGTAATTTGGAACAAAATAATGCCTTTTCACAAAGAAGATCTTGAGCAATATTAAAGTGACAGGAAAAAACACTTGCCTCCTTAAACTGAATGATATTAGGGTGCTGAAGTGATATGTGATTGCCGATCTCTCTAGCCACGTTCTCACAAATGTCAACAAAACATGAAATGAAAGAACTCCCTTTACTTAGCAGAAAAATTTCAACTGAAATGCCAATATAAGTCATGCCTCTAAACTGAAATTTGTGCATAGAACATCATTCACTTTGGTTCGTAAAAGGTCAAAAGAATTTCTGCATTAAACAGTCGAGAAGCTCGTAGAGTATTGCCAAGATTTTTAAAAAATTCATGGAAGATACATACTATTAATGAAATGTTTTCTATTGCATTCTGGTTTGTCGATATGAGTTTAATTCGATTGCATATAATAAGAATTATTATAAGAATACAGATGAAGTGAATGGGCTTACCAGCAACGATAATTCTTCACCAATTGGCGAAATCCTCACTTCTCCGAATGTGGTATTGGTACGCGTAGTGTGAACCAATTTCATCAGACGCTCTTCAAAAACATAGCTTTGTCCTCTCACACTCTCAACGTTGGTGCCGTTAATCTCTTTCTGGAAGCCCAAATCTTCGTGAATTGTTTATCAACAAGTTAATGTTTTCAGATTACAGATGCTATTCATAAGAGTTAAGTTACAAAGAGATTGTGTTAGCACAGGTCTCATACTCATGCTAAGATTAAGCCCTACAGAATAATGAACTAACTTGAGAGATGTGGTCAGTTAATTTTACCATCAAGTTAGCTGAGAAAGAAACGTATTGATATCATTCTCATTGCATTTTGTTTCACAAAACCCTTTTCACTTCAAAGTAGCTTGTCTTATTCATAATTCATAATTATACAGGTATAAGAAGGAATACATGCTGAAAGCCTAACCTAATCAGTATTAGCCAGCTAAGATCAGTTAATCCTCTAGCATAAAATACTCATTATAGATCTCCCTTTCTAGATCAGTGGATCATCGTCCTTCTTTTCCCAGGGAGATTGTAATTCACATTCATTTATATGGATAAAATAGAGACTACCGAAATGCACTTGTGAATTTGTAATTACCACAATAAACCCCAGGTTAGTGAACAATTTGCATAGAGGTTTGTATTTATATTCCATTAACCTAGCTTTTAAGGCAGAAGAAGACCAAAGACAATAAAATAAAGACACGACGAGAAGCAAAACAAAAAAATGACCTCATAAGTGTGTGCTTTGGTACTTTATTCCATCAAGCTAGTCCTTAGTGCAGTGTTCAGTCACGTTTTCCTTCTCAGTCAATACACATGGAAGATGTTAGAAATACGTATTAAGAATAGACGAGAACCAGACTTTTGCATCAAAGAGAGGTAAATAGGAAGAGTTACCTCCGGTTAATATAAGTGACTTGGTTTGAAGTAAATTATAAGAATTAACACAAAAAGAGAAGAAAAATCTTTGCTTTGAAATATCTTTTGTTCTTTCGTCTTTTTGTTTTATCTTTGAAGAATGTCTATTAACACCTAATATTGACAAAGTTTTGTTGATAATCACGATGAACTTTGCATCATACCTTTTTTGGAGTAGCGTCCTCGCAACCATGTAAATCATGCTTCACCTTTACAATGTTCTGTGCTATGATCCAGGCAAAGCAAGCAAGTCGTGGGTCGTCCATAAATGGCATCTGAATTGTAATGAGCTCGGTCTAAAACACATCCTATGTTGGCTCTAGAGAAAATCGTGTGTGCTAAGAGTTTGTGCACAACTCTCACTGCTGGATGAGTAAGAAGAGCTGACTTGGATCTCCCGCTATCATAGACTCCATGACCCATCTCTCTCCACAAGTTAAAATCGGGTTCATCTTCAAGGTAAATTCTATCAGTGTATGGAAGCTTAAAAGCTTCGCAAAGCTCAGAAATGGTGAGAGAGTAAGGCTGTCCGCGGATAGAGAATGACAAGATGTCATCTGATGCTCTGGGGTTCCTCCTCTTCGTGTGGTGGAGTGTAATAGTTGCTAAGAACTCGCGGACTAGCTCAGGATAAGTCGGAAGGTTCAGCTCCATGTAGGGTCTCAGCTTAAGTGCATCGATGTACCAGATCACACCCTCTCTGATTCCAAGCATCTCAAGTGTATGATAATCAATGCAAGGCGTGGGTTTGATGTTCAGCTTCTTGAAACGTCTTGCATAGTCCACTCTCGGGTTTATCTCCCTGCCAATGTATCGAATCTGTAGTGGCTCAGGAGCTGCTCGTGTTTCTCTTGAGTGCTGGAGCAATCTCATCACATAGTTTCTTCTTCTCGGTCTGGCTTGGGTCAGCATGTACTCTCCTAGAGTAGCATCATCGGGAATGTCCTCAGAGCTTCACCAGTGCGACGGCTTCTTTGGGATCTGGTTTGTTCCATTTTTTCTGCAAAACGAATTGATTCTTGGAAAAAGAGTGAATATGGATGCTGATTTTAACACATTAAGATCAGCTATACTAGTACTAGTATAAAGAGATTAATTAAAACCATGAGCAAGCAGAATTGACATTGAATAAAAAAAATCGAGTAGTTCATGACTAGATTCGGATTTTTGATGTTCTCAACATAGAAATCTTCTAAAAATCGGTTTTAATGAGCAATTTCCATGTCAAACCTATAGGTTACCTAATACTAATCACTAATCATACAAGACTTAATCAGATTCATCAAATTTTCTGTTCCAAATTCGATTTTTATAAAGGCATGTAGAATCCAAATTTCAAAAATCTCAATTTCTCTTAAGTTAGGTGTTAAAATCAATTTTTAGATAACCTAAAAGGATAATCTATTGTTCTTAAGCTATTTCCACCATCAATAAACCAGGATTTGGGCTTTTTAAGAAAACCCTAAGTTCTAAAATCAAGTAAAAATGGCGAGTTTGAGCTTCATACCTTGTTGGAAAGAGAGATTTGATGACAGAATTTAATTCACCTTTGAAAAAAAGTGAGGTTTGAGCCAAGAATCTCTTAAAAAGCTTAAGAATTAAAAAAGATGTTCTATCTCCTAAATCTCCAAGTCTTTTGGAAGAGAAGAGAAAAAGGAGTTTTGATCCAAAAAGTGCATTTTCTTTTCTTTAAAAAGCGTTTTTGCAGTAAAAACGGAAAATTTCCGGGAATATTTAAGTTTACGGGAACTTACCTTACTTGTCTTGCACGTAAAGGAGGTTTAAAACTTACGGAGAATCTTAACGGGCTTTACCGGGAATGCTCCGGGAATCACCGAGAAACACTAGGTAACACCGGGAAACACCGAGAAACACCAGGTAACACCGGGAATCACCAGGCAACACCGGGAATCACCGGGAAACACCAGGTAACTTTTGAAAAGCGGCCGAAATCCGAGTTCCTGTCTCAACGACCAACGGCCGCGGTCAAGAGACGCGCGACCACGGTGATTGAGGGCTCGGCCGCGGTCACATTCACGGTGCCGCGGTCGATACACCCTTGGCCGCGGGTCGGTCGGTCGCGACCGCGGCTCCTTCTCCTGCGGCCTTTGTCCATCTTTCTGGTCTTTGCTGGGCCGAGCAGCTAAAAACCTACCCTTTTCTTCTCGGTTTTTCTAATTTTCTGATTTTTTTTTTGTGTTTTTTTTTTATAAAATACCTGAAACTAAAAAGAAGAAGAAAGCATAAATTGTAAAAAGGAAAAGGAAACTAAAAGAAAGAGTACCTAAATGGGTTGCCTCCGATTAAGCGCTTTTGTTTTAAGTCGTTTAGCTCGCCGTAGGCATGAAGAATCAGGCTGATTTGAATGGCACTCCACTTGATGTGCCCTTATCACTCCCGGTCGCTGGAGGTTTTACTTCTTCTCCTTCGTGGTTCTGGTGGTTTCTTGGAGGAACCTCATCCTCCTCTCCATCTTGTCGAGCATGATCACCTCCTCTGTGATCATTCTCTTCATTTTCTCCATGTTCGGACCCGTCTTGGTCCATATTTAAAGCTCGGTTAATAGGATATCCAGGCTGGTCGTCGTTGGCAATTCCTTGCGTTCGTCTAAGTCTTCGAAGTTCTCTTTCGTGTATGTCTATCTCGTCTAGAATTGGAATGTTTTCTACAGGTCTGCGCCTGGTATTCATGCAATTGAGAGAAAAACTAAAGAAGGGAAAGATAATTCAGCAAAACTTTAAGAAAGAACTAGAGATCAGGTGTCTAGAACAGAAGTTAAAACAAGAAAAATAACAAAAGGCATCGAAACAAATCCCCGGCAACGGCGCCAAAAACTTGATGTCGTGTCAACTGCGTGAGGGAACAAGTTTTACCCTTAACAAAAACAAATGAAAGCCGCAAGTGCACAGCTAATCAGTTGTAGTATTTAGGGATCGAATCCACAGAGATTTGTGTGCCTGGTATTCTTCTACGGTTTTTAACTTTATGTCTAGACTAGATTGGTTTTAAAGGGTGGTTGTTTATCACGAATTAAACTAAAACTTAAAGAAAGCAAATAAATCTATCCTAGAAAGCAAGTAGAAAAATCGAATGGAAAGCAAGTAAAGCAAGTAAAATATCGAACTAAGGCAATTTAAATGCAGTTCTAAATAAACAAGTAAAAATCGATTGGTTTGTAAACTATGGCTAAAAACGCTGAGCTTTTGGGAACTCTAAGGGATCATAATCGGTTTTAACACTAAGGTGATCCGGCTTGTTACAAATCCAACAAATGCTCTTAAGCCTTTTGTTAGATCCACCATTAGTGTTGTTATTAAAGGAGCGTAACCAACTGTTTCTCGCAACTTTGACCAGTAGGTTTCCACTCTGGCCCTGGAAGGGAGAGAACGCAAGAGCTGCACAAGACTCGTCAATACTCACGATCTCGCTGCAGGTAGGTTTCCACTACTACGGAAAAATTGCCTCTTTCATTCTAGGGCTGATACTTAATGAAAACTTTTGCAACACTAACTATCTAGATCAGATACTAGGTGATCAATCAAGCATACATGCCATAAGAACAAGAATAAACAGAGAACAGGTCGAAATCCCAGATTTATAAACCTAGATGTCTTAATCGATTATGAGAGCTCCTTTCGGGAACCCTAAGCCCAACTCGGGATCTACTCAGACATGGCTGAGGTCGACATCATCATTGGTTTTAATAAAAGTAATGAAAACAGTAAAGAAAAGAGATGAAGAAAGCTTCTCTATTGAAGAACTCGGACTTGAAAAATCTTCTACAAAAATCGCATAAAAACGGCTAAAGGAAAAGAGTTTCTGTAAAGTATGAAGGGTTCTCTCTAAAAACTACCTAAATGACAAGTATTTATAGTCTTCAATACTCCATATATGGTCGCTAGGGTTCCGGAATTGAGGATGAGAATGACTTTGGGCTTCAGAAATATGGGCTTTAGTTCGGAGCTTGATGGCCGCGGTCGAGAGTGACGTGACTGCGGGCGAAACCTAGTTTTCAAATAAAAAATATATGAATAAAAAATAAAAATTTTGCATAAAGTCCGGGAAATGGGCTGTTGGCCGCGGTAGCATGACTTGCTGGCCGTCTTCGAGTGGCTCCGGGGCTAATGGAATATCTTGAAATCCAACCGTTGGAATGTCTCCAAACCAAGTGCATTTGAAAGCTGGTTGATTCTTCTATAAGTTGTCCAATTTTTAGGGTGATCAGACGGTGAGAAGGTCTTCGTCTCTCCATGAGAGTTCTGACGGTCTGCATTTATCCAAAAGAGTCTGTTTGTTCCAATTTGTGCCTCTTTATCCCAAATTACCTGAAAAGTCTTTTAAAATCCGAAAACATAGAAATCCTTTGAAAACCTTTGGAAATGGAGTAAAAACACATGTAAAAGACATTAAAGTGATCCATAAAAATGGTCAAAATCCGGTGTTATCAGCAAGCACCTAAACAGTGGCATTTAAGATTTGATGAGGTTGTCTTGTCGAATGGATTCAATTTAAATCAGTAGGACAAGTGTTTATAGCAAATTTAATGACTCCGGTAATGGAGTAATCATTTTTTTATATGTTGACGACATGTTGATCTTTGGCACCGACCTTAGACAAGTAGAGTTACCAAAGCATTTTTGTCATCAAGTTTTGCCATGAAAAACATGGGGAGGCGAACGTGATTCTTGGAATTAGAATCTAGCGTGAAAACCAAAGATTATCTTTAACACAATCTCATTACA